AGGACTTCAGCGTATATTTGGGGGGAAATATATCAGGAACTTCCTGCTGTTTTTTGCTGTGCGGATTAGGCTTCCAACCTTCGAATAGAGACTCCTGAGGGGACAAACGGAGTGAAAGAGATGGCATGTCAGGCTGGAAGCAGAATCGAAGCGACAGAGTAGGTGGTCGAAAGCTCCAAAAAGTAAAGGAAAAGTGGCTACACTAATGAAGGTCTTTCGAAAGTAATAATAATAATAATAATAATAATAGCCACAGAAAGCCGGCCAAGAATGCCGCTAGAACAGAAGGATGCAGTGCCCCAGAAGGGTCTATTGATTCACTGTGTAGCGGCCACCACAACATTGTAGCTTTAATGTTGCTCTTCTTGTTTTCTCCATTTGCTTCTATTTTTCAAAAAGTGTTTTAAACCAAATAGTGGGCAACATTGCATCCATGAATGCTGAGTCTGCTGTCTCCTAATTAATTAGGCCTCTTTTTCTGGCACAACAACAATGCTATGATCACACCAAACAAAAGTAAAATAACTCTTCAATATCACCAAATATCCAGTCCCCGTTCAAATCTCTCTAATCACCTCAGGATTATTTTTACAGTTGGATCTGAATAAAGTCCACTCCTTAGATTTGGTTTCATGTCTCTGAGGTCTCACTGGTTCCTTATAGGTCCCTCTCCCTATAATTTGGGGAGCGGGACCCCCATGATTTGGGGGGGAACCACTTATCAGGAGAATAGCCTGCCTCCTGCGTTTCACTGATTGCTCCCTTATGTTGTCATCACATGTTACTGATCTTGACACTTCCTGTACACTGACAGGTGTACAGGCACGATTGGACTCAGGTTGATGTTTTAGGTTGTGCTGTGTGACTACATTACAACACGTGGCCCACTTTTTGTGATGATAAGATTGGTTCCTGGCTTTAGGTGGTGTCAGCATGACCCCTCCAATTGGAAATTCCGCGTCATCAGTTCACCCAACAAATGTAGTGTCTATCGAAGATCGATGCCTAGATTTATTATTTCATAGGATTAAAAAAATCAGTATGAACTCATAATTTTTAAAATGCACCTCATTGTTTTAATTCATTGCCATTATTATTCTTTTTGATGCCCAATTTTCATATTTTAGGTCAATGGGAGCATCTTCAGGTCTTCCCTTTGCACTTTTGGCATGATCAAAAGTCTTAGCTTTCTTATTTTGTGGCCCAACAGGATGTCCCTTCCAAGGTCGTACCTGTCTCATTCACCCCCACTGCACCCCTGCTCGGAACCGAGGTCACAGAAATATTAAATGTCATGGGCCCTTCTTCCACCAGATTTCTTTGACCTCAAACACTACATTCTAGTGATGAAACTTGCAACTTTGCTTGAATTACAAACTGTTTCTGACATCTGTCTTTTTTTTTTTTAATCCTCGCTCGAGGATATGCTTATTGATTTCAGAGAGAGGGAAAGGGTGAGAGGGAGGGAGGAGGAGAGAGAGAGAGAGAGAGGCCAGAGAACATCTATTGATTGCCTTCTGTACATGCCCTGACCAGGGATTGAACCCACCACCCAGGTACGTGCTCTGACCAGAATTGAACCCCCAACCTTTCAGTATATGGAATGATGCTCCAACCAACTGAGCCACCTGGCCATGGCTGTTTTATTGGGGTTTTTGTTTGTGTGTCTGCTTTTCAGTTTGGGATGAATTGACATTGGCGTGATATAGCCCTTGACCCTGGCCCACACACCTGAGCCGGAATCCCGGCACCGTAAGCCAACGAGAGGATTCCTGTTCTCACGGCTCTGGACAAACAGTCTCAGGAAAGAACAACTTGGCCAAGGAGGCAGTTGGTCATTCATTGAAAGTTTAAAAATTTAGAGGCTGAGAACTATGGAAATCAAAATGTTAAAGAAAAAACTCTTCGGTCCTGGCCGGTTTGGCTCACTGGTTGGAGCGTTGGCCTGCGTCCCGGGTTCGGTTCCCACTAGGGGCACGTACCAGAAAAAAAGAAAAGAAAAAACTCTTTTCATTCCCAGTAGGGCTCCCATAACATTCCTTCTGTCCCGGTTGGGTCCTCGATCCCTTGGAGGAAAGCAGTCCAATCCAGTTGATGCACCCTGGGTTCGGGGGAAGTTAAGTGCCTATGCAAGTTCTCACTGTGCTCAGATACTAATCAGGCGTTTGCTTGGCAGACAAAACGATGCGAAGGTCCGAGCTGCGGGGTCACAGAGCTCTGAGCTGAGGGCAGCTCACATTTGTGAGCCGCACGTCCAACCTGATGTGGAAGCCGAAGGCCAAGCCAAATACTCTGCGCTAAACATTATGTAAGAAATAATACAGTCTTGCCCGGCCAGTGTGGGTCAGTGGATAGATCAATATCCCATGGACTGAGAGATCTCGGTTCGATTCCCTGTCAGGGAACATGCCTGGGTTGTGGGCTCGATCCCCAGTAGGGGGCGTGCAGGAGGCCGCCGATCGAAGTATCTTTCTCACATCAATGTTTCTATTTCTCCCTCCCTTTCTCTCTCTCTCTAAAAAAAAAAAATCAATAAAACCACATAAGTCAGTTAGTCTGAGCACAACGGCCTTCCTGTGAGCTGCCAGGAGATAGCATCCTATGGACAATATTTATTTACATTATGAAGAAACCTGATAAAAGATTGAGAAGTACTCCCCACGTGAATGACAGTGACTCATCCGATTACGTGGATTGAAAGACTGTGCAGCCCTGGATTGGGATCAGCCTCTGCTCATGCTCCTGAACATGCACCCCCCTCCCCCGACTCACCCCCGGAGGGGTGCTCAACGCACAAGAGACCGGATTCACATTGTAAGTCAGCTCCATCGCCAGTTCCCCACCCTCTGCGGGTTCTCTGCCTGGGACGCTTTGCTGTAGATCCAGCTGGTCGCCCAAGGAGGAGGGGCCACGGCAGCCCCGCTGTGGGCTTCGCTCCACTGAGAATTTGTCGATGGAAACGTGCGGAACGACCAGGCAAACCCAGCGCTGTAAGATTGTACTGTCTCTCTTTTCTTACAGGATTTTTATGGTTTTGAGACACATTCAAGTCAGTTATCCATTTTAAGTTTATTGGAATTGAACTTGTTTATAGCCATCACCCTAGGGTGAAATTGGTTTTGTTATATGTCATTTCACTTAAAGTAGCAGAACCTATGGAGGACTTTAAGTGAGGACTTTCTACACAACCAGAAATTTAATCCAGTTCTCATTCATTTTGTTTTGCCCTGTTGAAAAGTTGGTGGGCATAACTGCCTGGCTGACCTTTGGCAACGATAACGTTCGTGCCGGAAATGCTTGCCCAAGTGCGTGGATCTGTATTCTGAGCCCATTCACCCAGATGATGGCAAATTGGTGTAGGCAGAGGCAGGAGGCCTCCCAGCCAGCCCCACCCGGCAGAGCGCCTCCCTGACCCGGGCAAAGGCTCCACGGGCCCTGACAAGTCAGCGGGCAGCCTGCTTCTGCTTTTATAAGAAATCGAGCAGCAGCAGCTCTGGTGGGAAGGACTCCTATGGGCCAGTATTCTTAGACCATCCTGTTAAACCCACGGAAAAGTCAGCAGAAGAGAAGAAGGAGGAAAAGCGAGTCAGCGTCTGGTGTTCTGAGGTGCAGGCCTGTGACAGGCCACCTTCGCGTGGTGGCTCCTGCCACAGTCAGGATCCTCTGTGCACCGGACAGACTAGTCGCCTGTTTCCCTCGCATGTGGGTGCACACAACACCATCCTAAAGCAGCACCCTGACCACAGGCAGAAATATCTAGAACAATAAGACAGCAGAATGAGAACCCTCCTGACTTACACTTGACCTCAGGCGCGGTGCACATTTTTCTTCACAAATGGGTCAAGGGAAGGACACTTCAGGGGTTGAAAAAAGAAAATTGACACTCTTTAAAAAGTAGAATTATAGTCCGGCCGGTGTGGCTCAGTGGCTGAGCGTCGACCCTGCACCAAAAGGTCGCCAGTTCGATTCCCGGTCAGGGCACATGCCCAGGTTGTGGGCCTGATCCCCAGGGGAGGACATGCAGGAGGCGGCCATTCAATGTTGTCTCTCATCGATGTTTCTGTCTCTCTCTCCCTCTCACTTTCTCTCTCTAAAATCAATAAAGGAGCCCTGGCCGGTTTGGCTCAGCGGTTAGAGCGTAGGCCTGCGGTCCGGAGAGACCCGGGTTCGGTTCCCGCTAAGGGCACGTACTTTGGTTGCAGTTTGTCCCCGGCCCTGGATGGTCGTGTGGGTGGCAGCCACTCGATGTGTCCCTTCACGTCGATGTTTCTTTCTCTCTCTCTCCCTTCCTCTCTCTCCCTCCCACTCTATCTGTACAAAAAATGGAAAAATATCCTCGGGTGAGGATAAAAAAAAAAAAAAATTAAAATCAATAAAAGGAAAAAGAATTTCTAAGGGAATTATAAAATCCAGACAAACACCCAAACGAGCAGCCGCAGCAGGGATCTGGTGCTCGGGCTGTTGTTCGTAGCTCGAACCCGTGGTAGAGTCTGCAAACCTCCTCGCGTGCAGACGGGGCTCTGACCCAAGCCCACAATCACGCCGCACCGGGCGAGCCAAGCCCAGTGCGCGTGCGTTCTCTACAGCACCTTGGAGAAGAGGTGTGCTGAGTGTGATTCGAACCTGTTCATTTCCTGGACATTTAGTTGCCTGGACAGGATTAACAGGGCTATGACACGTGAGCACTCAGATTTCCCACCCCATGCCACAGAGGAAGGATTGTTTGTGGTGCTGGTATGAGGTAGTGACAACCTCATGGAGAGCGGTGTTGCAATCAACACAACATCTGGCCCCACTACATGCTCCGGGCACGTCAGGAGGGCACGGACAAGCTCCGCAGGAGGTGTGCACAGCAGGAGGCTAGTGCTCTCTTTCTAAAGTAAACTCACGCTCACACTTTGACTTTGGGTCAAGAGCTGTGCTGAGCTGGCTGCAGCCGCTCAGGAACGTTTGTAGCGGTTCCAGGAAACGCATCGGGACCCCTCCTGCCTGCAGGAATAATGCCCACCGTGGACGACATTCTAGAGCACGTAGGGGAATTTAACTTCTTTCAGAAACAAACATTTTTCCTCTTATCGCTGCTCTCTGCGTCCTTCGCCCCCATCTACGTGGGCATCGTCTTCCTGGGCTTCACCCCGGAGCACCGCTGCCTGAGCCCCGGCGTGGCCGCGCTGAGCCGGCGATGCGGCTGGAGCCTGGCCGAGGAGCTGAACTTCACGGTGCCGGGCCCGGGGCCGCAGGGCGAGGCCTTCCCCCGCCAGTGCCGCAGCTACGAGCTGGACTGGAACCAGAGCGCCCTGGGCTGCGCGGACCCGCTGGCCGGCCTGGCCGCCAACAGGAGCCGCCTGCCGCTGGGCCCCTGTCGGCACGGCTGGGTGTACGACACGCCCGGCTCCTCCATCGTGACCGAGGTGAGTGAGGCAGGACTCCAACCGACAGAGCAAATAGTGCAGCTTTTCTTAAGGAAGATCCAGTGAGGCCAGACATGCTCTTTGGACTCAACGTATCTTAGAAAATCCCAGTTTCTGACAAAATCATGCAGCCTCTTATGTGTCCAGAGTACAAGTGAGTGAGTTAAAACCTGATCAAATTCCACAGTGATTCTCCTTTATGCGACTTTCAGCAGTAAGACACAAGCAAAGGCATATGAGAAGTCCAGAAATAATGCCAGGAAAGGGAAAATTGTCGAGCCGCCTCTTTTTCTGGAAGCCCTACCTCCCCCTCCAGTCTCCCATCACGCAGATGGACATGGAAATCCCTTGAATGGTGCCTTACTGTGGTTCGATGTAATTGCCTCTTAATGACTATTTTTTTTCCTATTTAATTTGCTCAAAGTGCCCACATAAAACTATTTGGGGTTGGAGCTTATGCTATGGTGCTATTATGTTATTAAAAACTAGTCAACATTGCCCTGGCCGGTTTAGGTCAGTGGTTAGAGCATCAGCCTGCAGACCAAAGAGTCTCAGGTTCGATTCCGGTCAAGGGCATGTACCTCAGTTGCAGTTAGATCCCCAAGCCTGGTAAGAGTCGTTTGGGACGCAACCAATCAATGTGTCTCTCTTACATCGATGTCTCTCTCTCTCCCTCCTTCCCTCCCTCCCCCTCTATCTAAAAATCAATGAAAAAAACATCCTCGAGTGAGGAATAAAAATAATAATAAAACTCGTCAACATCTAACTGCAAAACCTCATTTCAATAAATATAAAGAAAACAAAAAAAATAGAGACTTGTTTTTATTAGAGGCAAAGCAAATCGGGGCACAGTTATTCTGAAAGTACAGAGAACGCCAATGCCACGCTTCATTTAGAAAGACCGCCTGGAGAATGGAACTGCTCTGCAGGAACGGCCATGTAGGTGGAGGAGCCTGTCGGAGGACGGAAGCAGTCGAACAGCTGCGTGGAATGCGGCCGAGCACAGCTGCACACCGCACCGCTGTAAGAGGTTTTACAGTGCGGCCACACCCCTCCCTTCACACAGAGACCAGGAAACTGAGGCGCGGAGCAGACGAAAGAGTGGCCCAAGGCCGCGGAGCGAGAGAATTAGCAGTTAGCCCCGGAAACCAGATCTCCTGACTTCCAGGCCAGCACCTGCTCCTCCTTCCACTCTGCCTCTTGTTCCAAATGAGAGCAAATGTAACAGCCTGAGCAGGAAGCTCCCAACCCCCTGGCTGTTAAAGGGACAGCAACCAGATGCTGAGCAACCCATCTTCCTCCAGGCAGCTTTTGTATCCTGTCCACACACCTATTTGCTTTTGTGCATTAAAATTCAAATATCTATTTATTGATATTTTAGAGAGAGAGAAGCATTGATAGGTTGCCCCCTGCGCCCCCCACTAGGGATCGAGCCCACAACCCAGGCATGTGCCCTGACCGGGAACCGAACCGGGACCTCTCAGTCCATGGGATGGTGCTCAATCCACTGAGCCACACCGGCTGGGCTTGTGCATTAAAATTAGATGAAGACATTGTTTTGTGCAAAAATGAAGTAACTACCCAATTTCAGCTGATTTAGACAACAATAGAGTTTAGCCTAATGACATACAGTCAGACCGAATGTAGAGAACATTAATATAACGGCAAGAAAACCGCGAGTCTGTCGCCTTTCGGCCCATCAGTTCAGTGCAAGGGACACTCACCTTACTGAGTTCCCCAGGCTGAAATGATCTAACGGGATTTTGTTCTCTTCCTCTCCTGACTCGGTACCTCTCTCGCCCCCCGGCAGTTTAACCTGGTGTGCGCCAACTCCTGGATGCTGGACCTGTTTCAGTCGGCTGTGAACGTAGGATTTTTGATCGGTTCTGTGAGCATCGGCTACATAGCAGACAGGTGGGTGCCACACATTCCAAAAGCGTTTGAGTTCACCTGTCCCTGCTTGAATATCGTGCTCCCCAAATTACACAGACTACAACTGCCTGGCCTAACATCGGTTGCCTTGACAATCTCAGATTTCTTCTGGTGACAAGATAAACGTGGCGATGTCATTATTCTCCAGCCCTCCGGAGCACAGAGGGAGGTTTCAGGATTAGGTTTCAGGTTTTTCCTTGGGGGCTATGCAGAAGCTGAGGGTTAGAAGGGAGAGTAACAGATGATTCGATCTTTTGTGTGATGCCCAATTCATTCTTTGGCCTTATCGCCATCCACCCGGTCATGAGCCTGCAGGGCACCTGAGTTTGTCCATCCTCTGCTTGCCTGCCCTCTGCCCGCCAGAGGTAATTATGGGTATGGAACCTGGGGTGCAATTCGGTGAAAGGGAAGCGGGTCTGTCTACACCAAGGGCGAGAACTGTCCACGTCAGTAAAGCCAGCGTCGCTGGGGAGAGGTGAGGAGCTGGACTCCGTGTGGGACGTGCAGAGGCCACCCCCGTAGCTTTCATGTATCCATCATGTATCCATCATGTATCCATCATTAGAGACCCCAGGTTCCCCGAGACTCCAGGTTCCCCGTGCTGAGCTTCCTTACACCACGCATCTCTGCTCTGTGGGTGGCCAACTAGGTATATTTAGGAGTCCTCCAAGGAAGAGGAACAGAAACATTCGCTTTCTACTTGATAAGCTCTTTAGATAACGTGGCCATCGGGGCGAATTATTTAATACTCACAATACAGACGGTTTATAGTGTTTTCCGTGTGCAAAGCACTATGCTCAGGATTTTGGACAATATCATTCTCTTTAATCATCAGTTACCTAGTGAGATAGAGAGATATAAATATCTCAACTCTATATTCATATAGTTTTATATAAATACACAATTTTATATAAATATACAATCAAAACATAGTTTTATATAAAGTACAAATATATATTTAATTCTGAAATAAATGGTAAATACACTTTATGCTTGTTGCCCCAACTATGTCTAAGATATAGATAAACCCACACCCGTCATTACTATATTAAATGTAAGTAGAACATTTTTCTGATAACATTATATTGTCAGGCTGGATAAAACTTGGGATGGTTTCATCTATTCCCACCCCCCCCAGGGGATTCTGCGCGTTCACAGCCCTGCCCACTGCGGTAGCAGGAGGGGAGGGTGACAGTCGAGAGGCGGGGTCAGGGGCAGCCCATCCATCACACCGCTTCTGTGAGGTCTGCCCAGCTGCCCTTCAAGGCTCTTCTTGGGACTCTGTGTGGGAGACTTGGGGGAAGAGGAAGGTCATTCGCTTTTATTTTTATTGCCTCAGCACTGAGGTTGGTTGTTTGGAGATGGTCCCTCAAGTCAGGAGAGACACACTGAGGGGGGAGTGGGTCCAAAGTCCCCTGTGCTCCGGTGTGTGGCTCTCTGGCCCAGCTCCCTCTGCACTACCCCCTTCATCGGAAGATGCTAGCATGCACGGGAACAGAAGGGGGCAAATAGGTGACCGAGCCTCCTCACAGCTGGTTAAATAAGTGAGTTAATTATTCTCATCTGGCTCGGAGCAGGAGACCGGTTATAATTTTCTCCTGACAGTGCATTCCTGATGTGTAACCCCATCAATTATCCACCTTCTTAATGACCTCATTATTTTGTTCATATTGTTTAAATCTCCCAGGTAAAGTCAATCACTCATTACCCACCCACCCCCCCCCAAAGCTGTGTACTTACCTCTCTTTTTTTTCTTGTCTGGAGTTTTGCTGGCTTTGCCTCTTCTGTTCTGTGTGTGGGCGGGTACGAGTGTGCGGTGAGGTCACCACCACAGGGTTCGAAACAGGGCAAGTCACATGTTGCACCCTAAATGCCTCGCTCTGGACAATTTTCAGATTTTACACAAGAATCTCATGGAAATTTATTTTATGCTACAGATTAAACCAACATTGAATAAAATAATTTTCTGTGACTAATTTTAAAAATATGACCTGACAGATACTTAACGGTGTCTTTTAAAAGGAAACCAGGAGGAAATTATGAAAAAGTTGTAAATAATAACACGGAGTCTTACACCAAGTCAACTTTCTGAAGGTCACCTTTCAAACAGAAAGTAGGGCCCTGGCCAGTTTGGCTCAGCGGTTAGAGCGTCGGCCTGCGGTCCGGAGAGACCCGGGTTCGGTTCCCGCTAAGGGCGCGTACCTCGGTTGCAGTTTGTCCCCGGCCCTGGTCGGTTGTGCGGTGGCGGCCACTCGATGTGTTCCTTTCACATTGATGTTTTTTTCTCTCTCTCTCTCTGTTCCTCTCTCTCCCTCCCACTCTACCTGAACAAAAAATGGAAAAATGTCCTCGGGTGAGGATTAAAAAAAAACAAAAAAAATCAAACAGAAAGTAGGAAGGAAGGAAGAAGGGAGAGAGCAAGAGAGGGAGGGAGGGAGGGAGGGAGGAAGGAAGGAAGGAAGGAAGGAAGGAAGGAAGGAAGGAAGGAAGGAAGGAAGGAAGGAAGGAAGGGTAGGGAAAGAAGGACCTCGCTTAGAGAATTTGAAAATAAACCTTTTATTAGATGCCTAATTTATTTCATAACTTCCTAAAGAATGATTTTGGGTATCACCTGACCCAAAAAGGAATCTCTCACCAATTCCAGATTTTTTTTGTTCTAATGATCAGTGATTACAAGTGCTACGTGTAGCAGTATTCTATAAATGTTTGGCAGCTGAGGGTAAAGCCCCAATTTGCAGCACTTGCTGATTTCCATGGTGTGAATGCTCCCACGTGGCCCAGTGCTGCCAAGCTGAGACCACTGAACAGAGTCGGCTAGGGACAGGCACCGCCATATGGTATTCCCACTGCACAGACAACGGACAGACGTAAATAACCTCATGAGCGTCTGTAACAGTCAAACAGACATAACTGGGAAGCGCTAAGTTTTACATATTTATTACACTTGTTTTTAAATATAATTTACCTGATTGTAAGTGTATAATTTAACTTGAAAGGCTGTGTTTAACAATTGGCTCACAAAGTACCCGAACATCTAGTAACCAGCTCTCGAGAGCCAGGACCTCACAGGCTGGATTTCCTGATGGAACTAGATCGAAACAGAATCAAAGTCCCAGTGGGTCGCAGTCAAACTTCCCCAACCACGTGGAAGTTTCTAAATCAAGCTCTCACACCTCCTATGTGCCAGTCGCTGTGTTGGGCACCCCCGTGGGCTGTACTTCAGTTAGGATCATGACAGCCTTCAAAAGGAGATTCAAGGCCCTGGCCGGTAGCCCAGTGGGTTAGAGCATTGTCCAGATACACCAAGGTTGCAGGTTCGATCCCCTGCGGGGCACATACAAGAGTCAGCCAGTGAATGCAGAAACAGGTGGAACAACAAATCGATGTTTTTCTCTCTCTCTCTCTAAAAAAAGGAAATTTGATCATCCCCAATTCTGCAGATCAGCAAACTGAGGCTCAGTGAAATGAGAGCAGTGCCTCCCCCACGGGAACGTGCTGTGAACCGACTGGGACCTTGCGAGCCTCTGGTTCGGGTCCAGTGGGTCTGGAGTGGACCTGAGGGTCTGCATTTCCGAACACTCCCAGCAGGTGCCAGAGCCCCGAGCCGCAGTCTTCGTAGCAAGCAGCTCAAGGGCTTAGGAAGCCGGCAGTCTCGGGTCCCACCCGCTCTGTAATTTTCTCTCCTTGTTTTCCTTTCACCACGCAAGGGTCCTGCTGCAGGCGACATGTCTCAAACCCTACTCCAGATCTCCATGATGTCTTTCAGCCGTACCTTACGTTTTTAAATAGCGTTATATTCCTATTTGGAGCACGGCCCCCAGCGAAGTTTCTCTGCATCGCAGATTAGGTTTTCCGAAGGCTCTCGCCCTCGGCTTCCAATGGTGACTGTTCCCCTCTCGTCGGCCACGGGACTTCATCCACCTACAGGGGGGTGACTGGGGTTTTACGACAGGCCCACGTCAACTTTGGAAGTTGACAAATTATCACCAGAGCATAGGTTTATAATGTCTTTGAGGATAAGAGAAGGGGGTGGGTAGGAGAATGTGGGAAGAAGGGCCAGAACATTATGTTCAGATGTGACTGGAAGTCTTCGAAGAGAAGGTCGGGGGGATATATTTACAATAGGGAGCTGTTGACTAAGAACTAATCAAAGAGGTGGTCAAAACAGGGTTTTAAAATTTTGAGTAGTTTGCATTCATTACTAATCAGACTGCTTGATCTTTCCATTTCAGATTTAAATAATTAAAATTCCCAAAGGACTATTAACGACGTTGTGGGTTACTTTAGGTGGCCAGTTAGTACTGAAGTGGTCATTAGGGTACAGTTGTCTAAAAGTAGAGGAGTGATCATAAACTGTCCCTGAAAGTGTGACGCTCAATGACACGAAACACTAACGACTGTTCCGTTCGAAGCCGTCAAACAAAGATGAACTAAAACATTGCTTTCTAAGGAGAATTTTTAAAATATCCACTGGCAGCCGGCGAGGGCGTCTTTTAGAGCCAAACCGGGGGAGCGTGTGAAAAAGCGGACATGAGGGTGCTGAGCCCCGAGTCAGCCTTCTGAGAGCTTAGTAACGGAGCGAGGGGGGAGGAAGGCTCTTGCCACGCTCGTCACGTGTACTATCCCATTTAACCCTCCTGTCAACAGGTCAGACAAGTCTTCTCCCAGTGAAGACACTGAGAGAGGCCGAGTAACGCATCCAACATCGTAGTAGGTGGTAGGGCCAAGGTTCAGCCCAGGTTTCCAAATCTCCCTCTGCTCTGTGCACTGACACACTGTCCAGGCCCCTACACCGCTGAAACCTAAGTCTCTCCAGTAAGATGTGCGGGCTTGCCCAGCCGGCGTGGCTCAGTGGTTGAGTGTTGACCCGTGTACCAAGAGGTCGCCGGTTCGATTCCCAGTCAGAGCACATGCCCAGGTTGTGGGCCAGATCCCCAGGGTGAGGCGGGGGGGACATGCAGGAGGCAGCCAATGAGTGTTCTCTCTCATCCATGTTTCTATCTCTGTCTTCCTCTCACTTCCTCTCTCTCTAAAATCAATAAAAGAAAAAAACATCAAAATGTGTGGGAGCTATCCTTCTAGGGTGCTCATTACAAGGCCTAGGGGATGGCAATATTTGAAGTGACTCGTGGTCAGTGAGACACAAAAGACCATTTCCCTGGAGACATGCAAATAACACCAAGTCCAAAAGCATTGTTAAAAGGTGTGCGGGGCCCTGGCTGGTTTGGCTCAGCGGTTAGAGCGTCAGCTCAGGAACCAAAGAGTCACGTGTTCGATTCCCGGTCAAGGGCACGTACTTCAGTTTCAAGTTTGATCCCCTGCCATGGGTTCGATCCCTGGCCCAATCAGGGTCGTGCAGGAGGCAACCAATCGATGTGTCTCTCTCACATCAATGTTTCTCCCTCTTTCTCTCTCTCCCTCCCTCCCTCCTACTCTATATAAAAATAAAAATAAATCAATGGAAAAGTATCCTTGGGTGAAGATTAAAAATAAGTGTGTGGGGAGTACATTGAACAATACATTTTGTTTCCTCTAAAGCAGAAACTCTTGGGTGGGAAGCTGGTTGGCACTATGTGTGCAAAGGCCCCCAACCCTATGGGGACGGAAGGTCTGCACAGGCCCCTAGGGCATTCAGCACGGTGGCCTGGAAGGGTCGCCTTCGCCCTCAGTACCTCCCACAGTGTGGGACTGAGAAGGTGCTTGATCCTGGGGTGAACGGGCTACTGTGCTAAGGATGCACTGATGACAGGTCTTGAACTGAACTGACGGAAAGGTGGACCCTCCTGGTGGGTCTTAACCTGTCCTTCCCGGATTTCCATGATTCAGAAGGTAGGTTGCCGTAACATGTGAACTTTCCACGACCTTCCTGGGTCTCATCGTATTCTCTTCCCTCTCTCTGTTTTTCCCCTGCAGGTTTGGCCGGAAGCTCTGCCTCTTGGCTACAATCCTCATCAACGCTACATCTGGAGTCCTCATGGCCATTTCCCCAACCTATACGTGGATGTTAATATTCCGCTTCATCCAAGGGCTGGTCAGCAAGGCAGGCTGGTTAATAGGCTACATCCTGAGTAAGAATGCTTGTGATTGCAGCTGGGGGGACGAAGGGTCATTGCTGCCAAAATATCATCGGGTGGGGGGTAGCAGAGAAATGGACTCAGCTGCAAGGCAATGTCCGGAGGTATTTTTTTTTTTTCTGTGTCAAAATAATTTCTAAAACCTTTTCAAGCAACTCATTCTGCATTCCTCCTATAAAGAAAACAATGAAGTCAGAAATGAGGGTCAACATCACACCATCCACATTCTTATATAACTCTAGGACTTTGTGTTTTCTGTATTATGTAGAGGAAATCTAACCTACGAGGCCTATACATAAAGAAAATTCAACGACGAGAGATGTGTTAGATTTATAAGAGATTTAAATACTTGGCGTAAAGCCATTCTAGTGAAACCACAGCTGTCGTCCATTCAGATGCAAGGAGGCCGAGATGCTTGGTCAGTCCTGGTTCCTCAGCCATCTGTGGGGCCAGGAATGTCCTTTACTTCCTACTCATTAGTGGTCAGACTCAGGCTGCATCTCCACGGAGTACAGGAGAGTGTTTGCATTCTAACAGCATAGCATCTTTAAAGCAATATAAGAAAATTACCACCATAATTAGGTCTTGGGGATTGGCCCCACCATTACATCCCCTTCAGCTACATTCATACGGCACCCAGGTACAGGGAGAGGGACCCTGTGAAACTGGAGGACGAATAACACACTCTCATCGCACGCGAGAGAATTAGAATGTGTGAGCTTAACATGTTACCTGGTAGAGTTAATTTGGGGGATTCTGTGAGATAAAGAAAGAATGATGCATGATGCTATTAGGGACCTGTCATGGCAGGAACGTAAGGTATGTTTGGTCAACAAAGGGATTCATGTATGCAGCTATCTGATCGGTGATTTGGTTTCTGGAACACATACCATGTAGAAATACGTAGAATTCAATTGTATGGATTTAAATTTTAGCAACAGTTAGTTTCAACCTTGTCACATTTATTTATTTTTCCATCCCTCTGAACACCCTGGAGGAAGCCCTTACTGCTGGACCACTTCAAAAGACAGACGTTTCTATTTATGAAGCGCTTGCTTTATTTTGTGTAACTCTGTTTTAAAATACTTTTGGATAATTCACAGTAATTTATAGAAATATTTTAGTGTGCATTTCTATCTGGTTTATAAATAGCTGAAGTCTTCGACACAATTACCAAACATTTTAAACAATAACTCTGCGGCTCATGGAATATCTCAAATTTCAACTCTAGTACGTGTGTGATATAAAAAATGACTATTCCCTAAATTCATGTACCACAGACTTTGTAAACCTGCCATGATGTAGTCATGGGATGGGAGACAGCTGGTTATGTTGCCATGTGTGGTGGTGTGTGTGGTGGTGTGTGCAGTGGCATGTGTGGTGGCGTGTGCAGTGGCGTGTGCAGTGGCATGTGCGGTGGTGTGCTGATAAGCTGGCTCATGGAAAAGAGAAACCCTAGCTTATAATGTTTTCTGATTTCTAAGTTATAAATACTCCCACCACGACAGATTTTAAGGTGGCAATAAGTTTAACAACCAGCTTGCAAAATTCCAGAGAATTTAAAAATCGGTTTGCACAAGCCAGCACGCACTGACTCCAGGCAGGCAGCTGCACACATTAACAGGGTTGCCAAGAAAATGTTTAACTTGCGCAAGAGAACAAGTTCTACTGAGGTATTCAGTTACAGAAAAATCATCCACAATCTAAACTCCAAGCTTGGTTCACTTATTTGGTTCTTAAATGATCACTGCCTTTATTACTCTAAACTTCACGTGGATCTGAAATACAACTGCATTTGTCCTTGAAACTGTTCTAGAAATCATTTTGCTCGTGGTGGCGGGCCTTTCGCCCCGTCTAACGTGGGATTCTAAGATTTTACCTTAATTAACACAACAGCAATCATTCTAAGATAGACCCCCAAGCACATTTTAAAATTTCGGAGAGCTGTTCAGAAAGTCTAGCCCTTGGACGACACTGGGAGGTGGGCGTTCTCAATTCCCCATCGTTGGAAGCCAGCTCCCTGTTGCACTGACTCGCTGACCGCGTGGGGTCTCTCTGCAGTGACAGAGTTTGTCGGGCTGAGCTACCGGAGGACAGTGGGCATCCTTTACCAAGTCGCCTTCACCGTGGGGCTCATAGTGCTGGCCGGGGTGGCGTTCGCGCTGCCGCACTGGAGGTGGCTGCAGCTCGCGGTGACTCTGCCCAACTTCTGCTTCCTGCTCTATCATTGGTAAGTCCGTTTGCAGCTAAAAGGAAATACTTGCAATTTTTTTATTTCTGCCTTCCCTAATGCGCACCATCCCTGTGAATTCCAAGATCTTCTTCACTCCTCTGGTTCACAGGAAGCCCGGGTCCCTGTTTCGGGGAGAAACAAACACTTGGGAAATCAAATGTCCCTTTACTTTGGGTGTAAGAGTTTTACGTCTCGGCTATTATTTTTTCACATTATTTACGTGATGTTTAAATTGGCTTCTAGTGTGGCCGGGGTACCCTTTGAGGAGACTGAGAACATGACTCTTCTTACTCTGGCCCTTCTCAGAAAACACTTTAGGACAGAGAAGGCAGAGCATGGACCCGTGTCCCCACTTCCCCACATCCGTGCCCAAAGCAGACATCCCCAGTAAATCACAGTGGTCTCTATTCCGGATAAGGCCGACAGCGGACCCCACACACACCGTAGCAATCGATCGGAGTTCCCTGGGCAAGTGAAATATGTCTGTCTCCCTGCCCAAGGGGAACATGGACAATAGCAGAACCCATCAGCACCCCCACGCTGAGGCGGCCTGAAACAAACAAGGGACGCTGCCTTTCCTACCAACCTCTCTCCCGCGCAACACACCCGTGCATTTCATCCCGGACACATCCACCTGTTCTTTCCACACTTGTCTAAGAATCAACATCTCAACTTTCCCAGGAAGCCTGCTTCTCCTCCCAAATCCAGTAACACTCTAAGTGTGATTCTTAGCTCCCTCCCTGTATCCACTCTACCCCCCCCCCCCCCGACTCCATTTCCATTAGGATATTTTGCCTGGATCGCTACCATCTTTGACTTCACCACACTCTAGTCCATGCTTCACGCCGTATTTAAAAATCTAGTTCTGCCCGGCCAGCGTGGCTCAGTGGATTGAGCACCGTCCCATGGACTGAGAGGTCCCAGTTCGATTCCCGGTCAGGGCACACACCCAGGTTGTGGGCTTGATCCCCAGTAGGGGGCGTGCAGGAGGCGGCTGATTGATGTTTCTCACATCGATGTTTCTCTCTCTCTCCCTTCCTCTCTCTCTAAAAAAATCAATAAAAAATATATTTTTTTTATAAAAAATCTAGTTCCACCTTGTTACTCTCTTGCTTAAAAGGCTTTCAATGAAGTTCCCCTCAGAATAAAGACGCGGTGCTTCAGCGTGACGGGAGGGCCACCTGTGACCAAGTTCTGACCACCTTGAAAACAGTTCTTCTTGCCACTTTCACTCAATAGATCAAATTTAATTTACCTACAACTCGACAAACTCCATGATGGGATGACATTTTCAGAAGACCCCTCAAGATGCAGAGTGGAAAACAGGTGTTTGGGGAAGAATGCAGGCAAGGGGACCACATGCGACACTATTGCCGTAATCCTTGCAAGACAGGACAAGGGCCTGGATAAGACAGAGGGTGGGTGTGAAGAAGGAAAACATGTGAACAGCACTAACAAGGCAGCAACGACAGAGCCGGGCGCGCGGACGCGGAGGTTGGAGGACGAGGGCCGGGTGTCAGCGTGTTGGTGGGTGTCGTTCAGAGAGGCACCCCCGCCAACACAGGAGGAGTGGGTGTGGACGGAAAGAGGATGAGGTGAGCTGTGGACACGCGGAACTTTAGGTCCTGGAAGGACATCAACATGCAGCTACCCAGGGGCAGTGACCCTTAAGGACCAAAAGTTCAAGGAAAGTCATGTCATCGTTGTAGCTGTGAGGACGGATGCGATCATTTAGAGAAAATGAGCGGGGCCCCGAGAGGAAGGGAATGGGGCAGAACAGAAGAAAACACCCATCTTTGAAAACCAAGCGAAGGACGAGGGGCCAGGGCTGAAGGATGGGGTGGCACCATCGGGGAGGAAGGGGGAGCTGCAGGGGCGGCGGGGATGTGGAGGCCACAGGAGGAAGGGCCTTGGGCCAGCCTCCCCTTCCCTGAAGCCATCCCCCGTCAGCCTGCCCAGGGAGGTGGCATGGGCCCACCTCTCGGCACTTCTCGCACCCCACTGCTTGTTGGGGCCCACTGTCCTGGCATTGCGTGTCCCTGTGGGCCATCAGCTCCCGAGGGTAGCAGCATCAGGGGCCATCCTGCCCGGCTTCCTGTGCAGGGCCCTGAATGAATGATGACGCAGCCTCTGCCGGACCCCTCTCGTGGGACCTCTGCCGGACCCCTCTCGTGGGACCTCTGCCGGACCCCTCTCGTGGGACTTTTGCCAGACCCCTCTCGTGGGTAATGTTCACTTCACATCGAGCAAGCCATTGTACTGCGAGACCCAAAGCTCGGGTTCCAGAGACGGTTCACTGAGCCAGTTTCCACTCCGGTCAAGTTGACCCGTGTTCCTAACTCTGCACTCAGCTTCCAAACCACTCACATGTCTACGGGCCGGTCAGCACTCTCCCTGCTTGGACACGCCCCAGCGGGCCGCCGGACGCCACCTGCGGGCTCACGCATCGGGTCCCTCCTCTCTCTGACCCGCTCCGCGAGCCCTCACCGCCCTGGCTCCAGCTCAGACGACGGGTGGCCGACCAGCCCTGCCTCCTGAACTGTGAGGGGCCAGAGCTGAGGGGGAGCCGAGTGTGACCAGAAAACGTTCCCGCGATGGCGCAGCAGGATCTGCTCTGGGAGCCCTGGAGTGACCCCTGGGTTCCTTTCGAGCCCCGCCCCTCAGAGCACCCCTTCTCTCCCTGAGTGATGGCCCCAGCAGCCCCTGCTCCTCCCCTCACCCCGAGCCGGCTGCCCAGAGTCCTCTCCAGACGCAGATCCCCGAGGCTCTGGTCCCGCTCAGGGTGCACATATCAGTGAAAATCCTACTGTATTTGTCTTTCAGTGCCTGACATTTTATTTAGTGTGATGTCCATCAGGTCCACCCATGTTGTCAAAAATGGCAAAATTTCATTCTTTGTGTGGCTGAATAAGAAGCCGTTATATATTCACAGTGTTTTCTTTATCCATTCTTTCCTCAGTGGACACTATGGCTGCCCCATATCGTGGCTGTCGTTAGTGCTGCGGTGACCATGAGGGTTCATATCTCTTTGAATTAGGGTTTTGTTTTCTTCAGAGAACACCCATAAGTGGAATTGCTAGATCACATGGGAGTTCTATTTTTAATTTTTTGAGGAACCTCCATGCTGTTTTCTTTTTAATTTTTAATTTCATTTTTTATTGATTTTAGAGAGAAAGGAAGGGAGGGGGGAGAGAGATAGAAACATCGATGAGAGAGAACACCGACTGGCCGCCTCCTGCATACCCCACACTGGGGATCAGGCCCACAACCTGGGCATGTGCCCTGACCGGGAATCGAACCAGCGACCTCTTGGTGCAGGGTCGACGCTCAACCACTGAGCCACACCAGCGGGGCCCATACTGTTTTTTTTTAGTGGCTGCACCAATTTATATTCCTACCAACAGTGCACATCCCTTTTCTCCACATCCCCACCAACATTTGTTACTTTGTGTCTTTGTCATAACAAGCTTCTCATAGGTGATTCTCACTGTGGTTTTGATTTGCTTTTCCCTGATGATCAGTGATGTTGAGCACCAGCTATATGTCTTCTAAATATCTATTCAGATTCTCTACCCATTTGTAAATTGGACTGTTTGTTTTTTTGCTATTCAGTTGCATGAATTCTTTATATATTTTGGGTATTAACCTGCTACCAGATGCATGATTTGCAAATGTTCTCTTCCATTGAGTAGGCTTCCTTTGCCTTTGTCAGTGGTTTCCGTCGGTGCGGCCCCTGCAGGAGTCTGGAGGTGCTCGCTGTGCAGGGTCCCTCACAGGAATCTGGCCACTGGGGGGCAGGGGCCAGGAAGAGTTCCCTCCACTGACGCACTGTCGATCCTTACACTGTCCCCTAGGTGCCTGCCTGAGTCCCCGAGGTGGCTCATCTCCCAGAACAAAAGTGCTAAAGCCTTGAGGGTCATGAAGCACATCTCACAGAAGAACAGAAAACCTATGCCCGCGTCGCTTCAGGTGAGCCAGCAGCGGCCATGCCAGGTCTGGGGTGCGAGAGGGAGGACGCGGGAAACCACGCCCTATCGCAGAGGGGCCGCCGCGTGCAGCGGAGGCTTCTGTGGTACCAAGATTTGTGTCTCCCTGGTCAGATATTTCTAATAGGTGGAAAACATAAAACTAAAAAGAACCAAAACATCATTTAAAACTCAAGTGAGGAGCTTCTTCTGCCTTGTGCGCCTCAGGCCTGAGCTGGCCCTCCCCCGACCCCTCCCCCCACCCCACCCCCACCCCACCCCACCCCACCCCCACCCGGTGTCTTAGTACTCGTGTCTGGTTTACCTATGTGTGTCCATCAGCATCCCCAGGGGAGGAGGTTTTCCCAGATCAGGAAAACAGATTTCCAAACATGATCATGTCTTAGGATTTGAACTGTTGGATAGAAAGTGTCCCGAGGTGTGCTCAGCAGCCCCTGCCTTCTCGGACAGGCATTTCGGTTTTGCCCTTAGTAGACCTCGCCCCTTTCACTTAGCCCTTTTCACCCGACAGAGACTGGAAATGATGTCGAAATGAGAGCAAATCATTTCTGAGCGAGGAGCTATGGCAGGCGGTCCGTAAGGAGCTGAGATTTTACGTGACATGTAGAATGAGGATTGGGGGCTCGGAGACCTTTCCTCCCCACTTCCTCTCCGGTTTCCAGGTGGCTGGAACACACATTCCTTTCCCCCAGTGACGGCAGACTGGTCCAAGGCACGCGTGGGCCATGGTTCCGCCCGAGGTCACACCTCACATAATGGCGATAAGTCTGGTCGGTGCTGGTCTTACAGGGCGTTTCTTCCCCAAGTTCCTCGGTCGTTCACACCGTCCTACAGGCCTCCGCTTGCCCACCGCACTTTGTGTACATAGTATCACCTTGTATACGTGCGTGGTTGTCTGACTTCCCCGTAGTCCAGCTTCCTCTTCCGTGAAAGGGGGCGGAAAGCGCAGAACCCCGCTTCCAGCGAGTTGTCACGCCGGAAGGAGCGGGCGCGTGTGCAGGGCTCGGTGTGGTCCCGGGCACGCGAGAAGCACTCGGCACGTGTAAGGAACAGTCGTCATTCTCTGCATGACCCGGGGACGCCATCACCAAATACACCAAGTGGTTCTTACTGTTTCTACTCGTAGAGCCTCAGACCTGACGAGGAGGCCGGCGAGACGTTGAATCCCTCATTTCTTGACTTGGTCAGAACTCCTCAGATAAGGAAGCACACTTTGATCTTGATGTACAACTGGTAAGGGATCCTTTTGACTTTAAAATCCTTCCCAATTCTTTTAATCCCAGTCACCCAAGGTGGGCTCCTTTGCTTCAGGTTTTCCTGATATCACATCTCTCAGGCAGATTTGACATTAGCTTCCAGTTCCAAAGCATCAGTCAGCACATTCTCAACCTTGGCTTCACCTTGGAATTGCCTGGGAGATATTTGGAGATGAAGGCCAGACCCCTCCCCACCAAGGAAACTATTTAATTACTTAAGAGAAGGATCCAGGGCCCGGCCTGTGCGGCTCAGTGGTTGAGCATTGACCCTGCACCAAGAGGTCATCGGTTTGATTCCCGGTCAGGGCACATGCCCAGGTTGTGGGCCAGATCCCCAGAGGGGGGCATGCAGGAGGCAGCCAGTCGATGTTCTCTCTCATCGGTGTTTCTCTCTCTCTCTCCCTCTCCCTTCCTCTCTCTCCAAAATCAATAAAGAAAAAAAAATTTTTAAGTAAAATAAACAGCCAAAATTGAGAGCTATTGGTATAGATCAATCGATGATGGGTGTGGACCTCTCAGAAAAGGGCCTTTTTCTTTCCTACCTGGAAAACTAACTTTTGAACAAGAATAAACCACACGAGTCAGCCAGGGGCTCCGCAGCCCAGTGACGTCAGCCTGCCGAGGCCGCTGTCCGCAGGTTGCTCTGAGCGCCTGCGTGGTAGCTCCGCACTCCCCTCCCAGTGTCTACACGGGGATGACACGCCAGCCAGCTGAAGATCCACAGTCACTGGCCAAAGCAAAGCTCGTCAGCAATTAATTAAGCAACCTCCACAATGTCGCATGAAAAAAAAAAAGCATCATTCTTCTTTCCTTTCCTGAATAATTGTGTCTCTTGCAAACGATCCTCACATTTTCCATTACAGACAATGAACACTTTCAGTCGACAAAACTAGAAACATTGTCGAAATGTGATTTGTATCCCGGCAGAAGGTAAATCGTTAGGAAGAGGCTGTGCCCGTTGGCTCCGCTGGTTTCCTAACATTTGAATCAAACCGTCAATCCCTTCACCTCAACTGCATTAGAAAACCAGAGAAACCAGTAACAGCCACTAACAACCTGCACAGTTTTAGTAAATAAATACCTCCACGGAGACATTTCTTCTTGCCTTGGAAACTTGGGATGCTTGCCTGGTTTCCTTTCCTCGCTGGGTCTCGGGTCACGGCCAGCCACCACAGTGGGACAGACAGTGTAAGAGCAGTGGATGGAAGGAACAGTAATAATAAGATGACAAAGAAAGGTGGCCCATGTTCAGCTCTTGTTTTTCCAGAAGCCTGCCCCTTTCGGTGAGGGGCTCTGGCTTGCCCTGACCCGAGCTCTCGTCTTTGCCCAGGTTCACGGGCTCTGTGCTCTACCAGGGCCTCATCATGCATATGGGCCTCGCAGGGGGCAACATCTACCTGGACTTCTTCTACTCTGCCCTGGTCGAATTCCCAGCCGCCTGCACCATCATCCTCACCATTGACCGCATCGGGCGCCGTTATCCGTGGGCCGTGGCAAACATGGTGGCGGGGGCGGCCTGTCTCGCCTCGGTCTTTATCCCTGATGGTAAGTGCCAGGCCAAGCTAGGGTCTTGCTTTCCAAGCTCCCGAGCAGAGGGACATGACAGCCCTCTGATAGGAAGACCACGTCATTTATCATCCAGATCAATTAGGAAAGAATGAACACGGTACCCAGGACCTTCCTGACAAATCACGTGTCTCTAAGAACGAGCGCACCCCGTGGCTGCCTGATGTAGCACAATGACACCCGATTGTTCTCTGATGTCGTCAGGAGGGCCCGTGCTGCAAGCCACCCAGCTGGCCCGGAGCAGACTGCAGGGCTTTGGGGCAAAACGGCCCAGGGTCCATCTCATTCCAGCACAGCCCAGTCACTGTACCATGCAGGCAACCTCCTCGGCCTCCCCACATCATCCTGCAGAATTAGGGAGACTGCCTAGGTGACAGCCATCAGTGAGCAGTGATTCAGTTCCTCTCTTTCCTTCTCAAATACTTTCTCAGTGAAGGGAAGCAAAACCTGTGTAGCAACCTGCTGCTTCGCTTGAATCCTTCGGTTATTAGCAACTACTTAGAATAGATGTTGCCATTTCTCTTGTGTGACCTCTGTAGACTACAGTTGGCCCGCCTTTGGCAACGGGTATAACTCTGTTGTCATTAATGACTGAGGTCTCAAGCTAAAATAGTATTAGAATGGCGGGTGCGGTTAAGCGGGCGCGCAGAATTTGCGGACAGTCTTGAGTCTGGAGAAGAGGCAGTGTTGCTCACTGGTAGCACTCTGGAATGCAGACGTCCCCTTGCAAGTCCCCGCCCCCAGCACTGTGTAAAGACCAGGGTTGTGCGCAGTACCTGTGATGGTGTGTTTCCCCTCAGACCTACAATGGCTAAGAGTGACCGTCGCGTGCTTGGGTCGAATGGGGATTACAATGGCCTACGAAATGGTTTGCCTGGTCAACACGGAGCTGTACCCCACCTTCATCAGGTGAGCACGTGTTCCTCAGCATGAAGCGGGGCGCAGGCGGGGGTGCTTCTTGGCTAGAACTACCACAGGTGGCAGCCGAGGGCGCCTTACTTTCCCAAACACGAGGGACGAGAGGGGGAGACCATGTCCAGGCCAGTCCCGTCTCACACCCACAGACTGGGGTCAGAACCGAAGCTAATGCATCGCCAGAGAGGGTTACCCAACGGCCGCCGGAGACAGGGACCGAGACCACGCCAGCGGGGCCATGCAAACAGGGACGTAGGTGGAGAAAGTGGAAAGTGAAGATAACCCCCCCGTTTAAAATGTTCAAGACAGTCAATATACAACAGAATACAAATGGAATGTGTACCATGCCATTTACGTGTGTTGAAAATAACGTGAACACTTTCCCAGTTCACAAACATCTTCATGGTTTGGGGAATTATTTACCTGAGGGTGGGGTGGGAGAGAACCACTGTACTGTGACAAGGTAAAAGTTAAATCAGGCCTGGCCGGTTTGGTTCAGTGGTTGGAGCGTCGGCCCGCAGACCAAAGTCACAGGTTTGATTCCGGTCAAGGGCACGTAACTCGGTTGCAGTTCGGTCCTGGCCCTGGTTGGGGTCTGTGGGAGGCAGCCAGTCAATGTCTTTCTCTCCCCTCCCCCCCGCTCTTTCTGAAGGAAAAATATCCTCGGGTGAAGATTAAAAAAACATTTTTTTTAAGTTAATTCAGCTTGCTGCATTTCAGGAATCTCGGCGTCCTCGTCTGCTCCTCAATGTGTGACATCGGCGGCATCGTCACGCCGTTCCTGGTGTACCGGCTCACCGACGTCTGGCATGAGCTCCCACTGGTGATTTTTGGTAAGAAATCTTGAGATATGTCTTTGAATCCAAACTTATTTTTCTAGGGACCTCCATTCTTGCACCTCAAAAGAGGCTCCTGTTAGTAACTACTGTGACTAGTAATTGGTGATGCTCTGAATGTCAGCGACACTAGTACTAGTGACAGTGTAAGAGCTGCCGATGCTCACGTGAGGGAACCCACCAGGGCTCCTGCCCGCAGAGGTACAGAGTCCAAGCCAAGACTGGATGAATGGAAAGAAGTCTCCCGGAAGGCCCCCACGCTGTCCCCACTGGTTTCCACCCCCCTTGGGTCTCTTTGTCAAAGAGCCCACTGTTTCCGCGTTCTCTGTAGCCAGATGTAGAAAATAGAAACCTTCACCTCACCACTTGAAGGAAAGGCTGTTAAAATCTGACGCAGGGCAATTTCAAACCCAGGGAAACGAAGACCACGCGTTAGCATGATGTGCTGGTTGGAGCGTCCTCCGTCCTCTGACTCCCGGGGCAGTGAGGTCCAGGAGGGGCACTGCCCTTCAGCGGCAGGAATGCACCAGACCCAGGCCTCCAGGACAGAGAGTGACAGGGACAAACCTAATTATCTGCACTGAACACACAGAGGCCTTTGTTGAACACCAAGTCCGGGCCCCGGGAACCCTGGGCACTTCCATCCACTAGCCTTTGCCCACAGTCAGAGACCCTGGAACGACGCCCTCCGTGTCGCACAGACACGGTTCCGATGCGCACACCACAGTCACCTTCTCACGCCTCCGCTCTCAGTGTCTGAGCCTGTTCTAACCGGGTGCTCTCATCTCGGCAAACGACACCACTTCGCTTGAGGGGAGGAAGGAAGACACCCTCCCCGCGGCACACCAGGGCACCGTCACTCTCTCCTCGCTCCCGCTGGTCACACACAAGTACCTCTGCTCATTCCTCTTCCCAGGGGATTTGGGGGGTGGGGGGCGGGGGATTTTCCACCACGGTAGACCTGCCCGGGAAAGTCGCGAAGCACGGATAGAACTGACCCTCGAAACACTCAGCGGACTCCTCCACATCCCAGCTTCATACAACGTGGCCAACGCTGGTCGAACACAGGCTCATTGTCCTGACTTGGTCACAGAATGGCCGGCACTGCGCATGGGATGCACATGGCCCAGATTTCTTCCTCCTCCAACACTGACCGAGGGACCTGGCCCCAGAGCCCCCTCCCACCCGGGGAAGTGCCATCACACCCTCTGGACGCCTTCTCTCCTGGGAGGACACTGGCGATGCCTCAGTCTCGACCACTCCCTTGGGTGGGCAGCGAGTCATCCGCGGGTCAGCGGGACACTCCTGGGCAGAGAACGGATCCTTCAGGTTCCTCTAAGTTATTTAAGAGAGCACCTGTTGCCGCCCTCCCTCGGAAGGGTAAAGGGCTGTCGTTGCATTTACATCTAAGATAACCTCCGTAACGACCCTCCGTTTTCTTTTTGCTGGTGCTTGCATTTTCTTCCCTCACCAACTTTTAATCTGAGTAGCCCACAGGAAGCAAAACAAATGCTTTAACATTTTAACTTCTTTCCCTTCCTTTCCCACAATAATGATGTGCTAACTGCGGTCTTGAAGTTACCAGAAATAGAAATCTAAACGCCTAAAAGTCAAAAAGCCAACACGTTTAAATGGATGATACTTTGACTCCTCCATGGTGTTATCTTCATAATTCACGCCGTCAGTGAATCCGAGCCAGCGGAACTGTTGGCTATTTGTATGAGAACCAAGGGCATCGTCAAGGTTTGGAGAGATTTGGGAGGTTAGTTATTTGGTTCATACCATGGGGCAGGCACCGTTATAAGCACTTGGCAAATAGGAACTTTTTCCAGCCTCAGAACAAGACTGTGAGTGAATGTAACACCCACTTTATATAGGGGGGTCCAGGGCCTCGGGAGATTGCAGAACTTCCCAGGGCTCTAAGACCAGGCAGCAGGTGTCCTAGCTGGAAGCAAGCACCCCAAACCACGGAGCTCCGGGGCCTCTGTTTCTGCCATTATTTAAGGATGTAGAAGTGGAGTCCAGTGTGCATTTGTCAGAAACTCCAAAACTAGTGAAGTTTTGGAGTTCCCGTTCCTTGTATTCTATTATAGAAAAACATATTAAAATGTAACCTAATATCCCAAAACTTTAATGGGAATTTAAAGAAACAAAACACCACAGGTTTGCTATTACCGCCCCACCCCCAACATATACAAAAAATTAGAGCTGGGGATAAATAAGAAAAAAACAGAAATTTATTAAACACCTGGATTTGAAATCAAAGTCCTGGCTACACTACTTTTTAATGCTGTTACATAGTAACAGTTTTAAAAGTGATGTATTACTTTTATTTACTAGTAATGATCCAAGTTTCTGACTCAATTTCCTTACTAAGTGCTTTATATTGGCAGGGTTTTGTCCTTTCTTTTCTTAGAGCTTATTTTATTTACTTATTTTATTTTCTTAGTTATTTTCTAACTCCAGAGTACCTTAACAGTATAACAAGGTCCTCCAGCCTGGAATAAACTTGACTCCAAATGTGAGGGGACGTACTTCTCTTCCCTACAAGGGATTGGAATCCAGCGCAGTTTTGGGGTTAGCAAAACATTTATGGTGAAGAACAGGCTGTCAGATAGCAAAGCAACTCATAAGTGTAGGAAACCACCCAAAAATCTCTGAAGACATAAGGGGAGCTGTAATCCTAGAGCCGGATGCTTCCCCTCCTGTGACGTCCATCTGCTTGGCTTCCAGCCGTGGTTGGCCTGATCGCCGGGGGGCTGGTGCTGTTGCTGCCAGAGACCCAAGGGAAGACTTTGCCGGAGACTATTGCCGAGGTTGAAAACATGCAGAGGTGAGGAGCCCAAACTCCCAAGTGAACTATTCCGTACACGTTTTCCACCAACTCTGTAGCCCGCTGGAAGGAAAGAGGAGGGCGAATCTATACCCGTACCACACAATGAGATCAGTTCAAACAAAATAAGACGTAAGAGCACACAAAAAGGAACAGTAAAATAGTAGCTACCGTAGAATACCTTTCTCCTGCCATAGTGGGGAGGTCTTTGTGGATAGGGCCCCAAATCCAGGACCCAATAAGAAAAGATCTATAAGTTTGCCTTCCTAAAAATTAAAAATTCTGCACTGAAAAACTGCCATAAGCTTAAATAATATAGCAAACTTAGAGAAAATATTTACTCTTCTACAAAGGGCTCATTTCTTTCATTGCTTTTTTTTTTTTTTAAGAGCACCAACAAATTCATAAAAGCAAACACCCAATAGAAAAAAATGAACAAAGGATTTGAACAGATAATTCAGTGAAAACAAAAACAGGTCTTAGGTATACGGCACTATGCTCAACCTCCGTCCTCACGAGGGCAGTGCAAACGCACACCTCTTCGTCTCTACTTGGATCCTGATGCTCAGACTCTCAGGAGCACACCTGCGGGGCAGGATTGCGGAGGACGTGCCTAGCTTGCCAGGAGGAGCACATGTTGGAAACCTCTGTGATGGGCAACAGGACAACAGTATCAGTGTTCCAAATGTGCATACCCTTAACCTAGCAACTCCAACCTCAGGAATTTACATATACAAAATAACATATGCACAGGCTATTCTTTAAGGAAATTTTTTTTAATCCTCACCTGAGGATATTTTTTCTATTTATCTTCAGATAGAGTAGGAAGGAGGGAGAGGGAGGAAGGGAGAAACATCAACATGAGAGACACATCGACTGGCTGCCTCCCACACGACCCCAACCGGAGCCAGGACGAACTGCAGCCGAGGTGCGTGCCCTTGACTGGAATCAAACCTGAGACTCATTGGTTTGTGGGCCGACACTCTAAATCCTGAGCCAAACCGGTCAGGGCTAAGGCAATATTTGTATGTAACAAAAGACTGGAAACAAACTAAATGCCCATTGATTGGGAGACTTGTGATATAAATTATGGTACATCATTCAATAAAATATCATATAGCCATTCAAAAGAATGAGGCAGCTTTATATACACTGGTAAGGAAAGTTCTCTAAGACATATTATTAATGAAAAAAGCAAAAAGTAGAAAGTGTAAATTCTAACATTTGTGGGGAAAAGTGAAAAAATAAATATGTATTCAATATATATACATATTTACTTATATCTCTGGAAGGATATGCAAGAACCATAACCCTGGCTGTCATAGGACTATGGGTTCTAGGCAGAAGGAGACTTTTCAATGCATACTTTTCTGTGCTTTCTGAATTTTGAACCATACAAACCTATTCAAAAAGGAAACTTTTTAAAAAGATCCAAAGAGCCCGACTGGTGTGGCTCAGTGGTTGAGTATTGACCCAGGCACCAAGAGGTCGCCGGTTCGATTCCCGGTAAGGGCACATGCCCAGGTTGTGAGCCAAACCCCAAGTGGGAGGCATGCAGGAGGCGGCCAATTGATGTTCTCGCTCATCAATGTTTCTATCTCTCTCTCCCTCTCCCTTCTCTCTCTAAAAAAAAATAAAAATAAAAAAAAAGATCCAAGAGAAACGTATATGACATAGTCCCCACAAGTTTGTTTTATGCAATATGCTTAGATATTTTTATTTATTTATCCAGACGCCCTTTTTGACCCACGGGTGCCAAATTCATCCATTCTACAAAGCGTTCACACTGAACATATTCAGTGTTGGGGCAACTGTTACTGCAGAAGAATCCCAGTGGTCTGAGGCTTTTCCTAGAACTTGGAGCTTCGAGTTGGAAGAGGCCTTTGAATTCACCCAGGGGTCACACTGGCAGCCCACAGGACACCGGGGTCTCAAATGCTTAGCTTGGCTGACACGTAGTTTTTAAAGTGGGAAATTCCACATAAACCGAATTTCCAGACTCTGTTAACATAAACAAACCGCCAGGGGATTGGGTAACTCGGAGAAGGCATTTCCTCCTGTTGACAGTTTGCAGGCGCTGAGTGCTGGCTCAGCTCTTTGCAGGGCATGTCCATGGAGCAGGCCCGGATCCCACCGTGCCCTGTTCTCTTGAGCTTGTACATTTGTACTTCCTGCCTGGTGCACGTAGACACGGGAGTTGGAGATCCTCGATCTAGAGGACCAGTCGCCAGTACCCCGACCTCAGCACAGTGGCGCACGCACACAAGCACCTCCCCTTGAGGGCAGACCGCCTCCCCTGTGATGTCCTAGCCTAGGGCTTAGCACAGAGCTGGCGCTCACCATAACTCTGGAATGGCGCTGAGTTCCGTCCGCAGCGTCCCTGACTGAGGTCCCTCCAGACTTTTCCCAGCCAGTCCAGTGTCAGGAAGGGGGGAGCATGGCCAGCAGGCCACATCCTATGCATGTGGTCTCAACTCCTCTAAGCCTCGATTTCTTTTTTTTTAAAGATTGATTGATTGATTGTTGTTGTTAATCCTTATCCAAGGATATTTTTCCATTGATTTTTTTTAGAGAGAGTAGAAAGGAGGGAGGAGGACAGAGAGAGAGAGAGAGAGAGAAACATCAGTGTGAGAGAGACACACTAGTTGCCTTGCACACAACCCCAACCGGGGCCAGGGAGTGAACCTGCTATCCGGATATGTGCACTTGACCAGGAATCGAACCCACGATCCTTCAGTCCAAGGACCGACGCTCTAACCACTGAGCCAAACCAGCCAAGGCTAAGCTTCAATTTCTTCCTCTGTAAATGGGGACAACAGTGCCCGCCCCTCAGAGATTGTACCGACCAGAGGAGCTAATGCATGCACACAGCACACGTCTAATAACCACTGTTACCGTTCACAAACGTGTCCATAGCTGTTCTGCAGACCAGAACATATGTACCAGGATGTTTTATTGGAAATAAAATTTTAAAATATGTTCTGCATGTTTTGAGATAGAAAGTAGAGCTCAGTGATGTACACATACACCTACACTTGCAGGATTTTCCATTTTCCACCAGGTCGGTTTAAGAGAGATTTTAAAGATGAACTCTGTTATTTGACATTCTTCCTATTTATGTGATTACACACACGTCTGTGAAGATGTTCACTTTTCTGTTTCTGCATCACTTTACCCAGCTTACTTTTCAAAGACGGAAGACAGATCGGTGGGGAGCTTGGGGAACGGCAGGAAGAGAATATGAGGGCCAGGGTCGAGCTGGGCAAGGGCCCACCGGCAGGAGGCAGCGGTCTGGGGCCTGGGGGCCGGCTGCCTCACGTGGCATCGGTGGGTCGGGCTTGCAAGGTGCCTCACTCAGGAGAGCTGGCCCAGGTGGTGTCACACACTTGGGAGAGGCAGCAGGAGCAGGACTTGGCTCCTAAGGACACTAAGCCCATCTTAGTTACAAACATGGACTTTTGACTTGTTGATGTATCATTTATTTCATCCCATAAGCCTGTTTCCTTTTCTGTAAAATTGGGAACAACAGATAGTATTTACTAAGTGCTTTCAGCCAGTGCCTTCCAACCCTTCTCCTTCGGTCCTTGCACAACCCCACGGAACAGGCGTTTCTGTGAGCTCCGTCTGACAATTGAGAAAAGCCCAGGTTAAAGGCTTCCCAGAGTCACACGGCAGGGAGGTGACAAGGCCAAGATTCTAGTTCTGGCGGCCAGCATCCAGGCCCATGCCCACGTCTCACCTCAGAGGGCTGGGTTCACAAGTGTGACAATGAAGGTGAGGTTCCTGGTGCAGGGCTGCACTTAGTTACCAGGCAGCCAGCGGGCTGCTGTCGCTGCTGCGGTTGTGCTGCTCTTGTTGAATTCGCTGCTGTGGTTGTTGTTGGCTACTGTTGTTGCTGCTGTTTTTGCCACTGCTGCCATTGTTGTCGTTGCTGCCGTTGTTATTGTTGCCATTGTTGTTGGCACTGCTGTTGTTGTCACTGATGTTGTTGATGCCACTGTTGCCACCGCTGCTGTTGTTGCCACCACTATTGTTGTTGCTGCTGCCATTGTTGCTGCTGCCATTGTTGTTGCTGCTGCCGTTGTTGTTGCTGCCATTGTTGCCACTGTTGCCGTGGTTGCTGCTGCCATGGTTGCCACTGCCATTGTTGCCGCTGCTGTCGTTGTTGTCACTGTGGTCATTGTTACTGCTGCTGTTGTTGCCGCTGCGGTCATTGTTACCACCGCTGTTGTCATTGTTGTTGCTGCTGCTGTTGTTGTCACTGCTGCCATTGTTATTATCACCGCTGTTATTGCCACTGATGTTGTTGATGACACTGTTGTTGTTGCCACTGCTATTGTTGTTGCTATTGCTGTTGTTGCTGCTGACGTTGTTGTTGCTGCCGCTGTTGCTGCTGCCATTGTTGTTGCTGTCATTGTTGCCCCGGTGGTTGTTGTTGCCGCTGCTGTCATTGTTGCCACTGTTGTCACTGCTGCTGTTATTATCACTGCTGCCATTATTGTTGCTGCTGCCATTGTCATTGTTGCTGTTGTTGCCACTGCTGCCGCTATGGTCACTGCTACCGCTGTTATTGTCGCTGCTGCCATTTTTATTGTTGCTGTTGTAGCTGTTGCTGTTGTTGCCTCTGCTGCTGCTGCTGCCGCTGTTGTTGCTGCTGCTATTGCTGCTCCTGCTGCCATCATTGTTGTTGTTGCTGTTGCTGTTGCTACCGCCATTGTTATTATTGCTACCGCCATTGTTATTGTTGCTGCTGCCATTCTTGTTGCTGCCACACTTGTTGCTGCCACACTTGTTGCTGCCACTGTTGCCATTGTTGCCATTGCTGTCGTTGCTGCTGCTGTTGCTGCTCCTGTTGTTTCTGTTGCCACTGTTGCTGCTGCCATTGTTGTTGTTGCTGCCGCTGTTGCTGCTGCCATTGTCGTTGTTGCTGCTGTCATTGTTGCCGCTGCCGTCATTGTTGTCACTGTGGTCATTGTTGCCACTGCTGTTGCCGCTGCTATCATTATTGCTGCTATGGTCACTGCTGCCACTGTTGTCACTGCTGCTATTGTTGCTGCTATTGTTGCTGCTACTGCTGTTGTTGCCACTGCTGTTGTTGCTGCTGCCATTGTTGTTGTTGCTGCCATTGTTGCTGCTATCATTCTTGTTGCTGCCATTCTTGTTGCTACCACTGTTGTCGCTGCTGCTGTTGTTGTTGTTGCCGCTGATGTTGTTGATGATGCTGTTGTTGCCGCTACCGATGTTGCTGCTGTTGCTGTTGTCGCTGCTGCCATTGTTGTTGCTGCTGCTATTGCTGCTGCCGTTGCTGTTGTTGCCACTGTTGTCATTTTTGCCGCTGTTGTCACTGCTGCCATTGTTATTGTTGCTGCTGTTGTTGCCGCTGATGATGTTGTTGATGCCACTGTTGTTGCCACAACTACTGTTGTTGCTGCTATCGTTTTTGTTGTTGCTGCCGTTGTTGCTGCTGCTATCATTGTTGCCATTGTTGCCACTATTGTCATCGTTGCCACCATTGTCATTGCTGCTGCTGTTGTTGTTGCCATTGTTGTTGCTGCCCCTGTTGCCACTGTTGTCGTTGTCACTGCTTCCATTGTTGTCACTACTGCCATTGTCATTGTTGCCACTGTTGTTGCCACTGCTGCTGCTGTTGCCGCCGCTATCATTGTTGCCATTGGTGTTGCTGCTGTTGTTGCTGCCACTGTTGTTGTTGCCGCTGTTGTCATTGTTGTCACTGCTGCCATTGTTGTCGCTGCTGCCATTGTCATGGTTGCCACTGTTGTTGCCGCTGATGTTGTTGATACCACTGTTGTTGTTGCCACTGCTGCTGCTGTTGCCACTGTTGTCATTGTTGCTGCCACTGCTGTTGCCACCGTTATCATTGTTGCCATTGGTGCTGCTGCTGTTGTTGCTGCCCCTGTTGTTGTTGCCACTGTTGTCGTTGTTGTCACTGCTGCCATTGTTGTCGCTGCTGCCATTGTTGTCGCTGCTGCCATTGTCATGGTTGCCACGGTTGTTGCCACTGATGTTGTTGATGCCACTGTTGTTGTTGCCACTGCTGCTGCTGTTGCTGCCGTTATCATTGTTGCCATTGGTGCTGCCGCTGTTGTTGCTGCCCCTGTTGTTGTTGCCGCTTTTGTCGTCGTTGTCGCTGCTGCCATTGTTGTCACTGCTGCCATTGTCATGGTTGCCACTGTTGTTGCCGCTGTTGTTGATGCCACTGTTGTTGCCACTGCCATTGTTGTCACTGCTGCCATTGTCATGGTTGCCACGGTTGTTGCCACAGATGTTGTTGATGCCACTGTTGTTCTTGCCACTGCTGCTGCTGTTGCTGCCGTTATCATTGTTGCCATTGGTGCTGCCGCTGTTGTTGCTGCCCCTGTTGTTGTTGCCGCTTTTGTCGTCGTTGTCGCTGCTGCCATTGTTGTCACTGCTGCCATTGTCATGGTTGCCACTGTTGTTGCCGCTGTTGTTGATGCCACTGTTGTTGCCACTGCCATTGTTGTCACTGCTGCCATTGTCATGGTTGCCACTGTTGTTGATGCCACTGTTGTTGCCACTGCCATTGTTGTCACTGCTGCCATTGTCATGGTTGCCACTGTTGTTGCCGCAGATGTTGTTGATGCCACTGTTGTTGTTGCCACTGCTGCTGCTGTTGCCACTGTTGTCATTGTTGCCACCACTGCTGTTGCCGCCGTTATCATTGTTGCCATTGGTGCTGCCGCTGTTGTTGCTGCCCCTGTTGTTGTTGCCGCTTTTGTCATCGTTGTCGCTGCTGCCATTGTTGTCGCTGCTGCCATTGTCATGGTTGCCACTGTTGTTGCCGCTGATGTTGTTGATACCACTGTTGTTGTTGCCACTGCTGCTGCTGTTGCCACTGTTGTCATTGTTGCCGCCACTGCTGTTGCCGCCGTTATCATTGTTGCCATTGGTGCTGCCGCTGTTGTTGCTGCCCCTATTGTTGTTGCCACTGTTGTCGTTGTTGTCACTGCTGCTGCTGTTGCCGCTGTTATCATTGTTGCCATTGGTGCTGCCGCTGTTGTTGCTGCCCCTGTTGTTGCCGCTTTTGTTGTTATTGTCGCTGCTGCCATTGTTGTCACTGCTGCCATTGTCATGGTTGCCACTGTTGTTGCCGCTGATGTTGTTGATACTGCTGTTGTCATTGTTGCCATTGGTGCCTCCGCTGTTGCTGCTGCCATTGTTGTTGCTGTCATTGTTGCCCTGGTGGTGGTTGTTGCCGCTGCTGTTGTTGTTGCCACTGTTGTCACTGCTGCTGTTATTGTCACTGCTGCCATTATTGTCGCTGCTGCCATTGTCATTGTTGCTGTTGTTGCCACCGTTGTCGTCATTACCGCTGTGGTCACTGCTGCCGCTATGGTCACTGCTACCGCTGTTATTGTCGCTGCTGCCATTCTTATTGTTGCTGTTGTAGCTGTTGCTGTTGTTGCCTCTGCTGCTGCTCCTGCTGCCATAATTGTTGTTGCTGCTGCTGCCATTCTTGTTGCTGCCACACTTGTTGCTGCCACTGTTGTCGTTGTTGCCATTATTAGTGTTGCCGTTGTTGCCATTGCTGTCGTTGCTACTGCTGTTGCTGTTGCTGCTCCTGTTGTTGCTGTTGCCATTGTTGCTGCTGCCGTTGTTATTGTTGCTGCTGTTGTTGTCAGTGATGTTGTTGATGCCACTGTTGTTGTTGCCCCTGCTATTGTTGTTGCTGTTGCTGCTGCTGCCATTGTTTTTGTTGCTGCCATTGTTGTTGCTGCTGCTGCTGTCATTGTTGCCGTTGTTGTTGCCACTGATGTTGTTGATGCCACTGTTGTTGTTGCCACTGCTGCTGCTGTTGCCGCCGTTATCATTGTTGCCATTGGTGCTGCCGCTGCTGTTGTTGCCGCTGTTGTCGTTGTTGTCACTGCTGCCATTGTTGTCGCTGCTGCCATTGTCATGGTTGCCACTGTTGTTGCCGCTGATGTTGTTGATGCCACTGTTGTTGTTGCCACTGCTGCTGCTGTTGCCACTGTTGTCATTGTTGCCACCACTGCTGTTGCCGCCGTTATCATTGTTGCCATTGGTGCTGCCGCTGTTGTTGCTGCCCCTGTTGTTGTTGCCGCTTTTGTCATCGTTGTCGCTGCTGCCATTGTTGTCACTGCTGCCATTGTCATGGTTGCCACTGTTGTTGCCGCTGATGTTGTTGATGCCACTGTTGTTGTTGTCACTGCCATTGTTGCCACTGTTGTCATTGTTGCCGCTGCTGCTGTTGTTGTTGCTGCTACTGTTGCTGCCACTGTTGCCGCTCCTGTTGTTGCCGCTGCTGTTGCTGTTACTGCTGTTGTTGTTGCTGCCACTGTTGCTGCTGCCACTGTCACTCTTGTCACTGTTGCCACTGCTGCTCCTGTTGCCGCTGATGCCGCTGTTGTTGTTGCCACTGCTGCTGCTGTTGCCACTGTTGTCATTGTTGCCACTGCTGCTGTTGCTGCCGTTATTATTGTTGCCGTTGTTGCTGCTGCTGTTGTTTCTGCCACTGTTTTTGCCGCTGCTGCTGTTGCTGCTGCTGCTGTTGCCACTGCTGTCACTGTTGCCACTGTTGTCATTGTTGCTGTTGTTGCCACTGTTGTTGTTGTTGCCACCATTGTCATTGTTTCCATTGTTGTTGCTGCCATTGTTGTTGCTGCCACTGTTGTTACTGCTGCTGTTGCTGCTGTCATTGTTGCCGCTGTTGTCGTTGTTGCTACTGTTGTCACTGCTGCTGCTGTTGTCACTGCTACCATTGTTAGTGTTGTCTTTGTTGCTGTTGCTGTTGTTGCTGCCGTTGTTGCTGCCGCCATCGTCGCTGCTGCCACTGTTGTCATTGCTGCCACTGTTGTTGTTGCTGCCTCCATTGTTGTTACCGCTGCTGTTTCCACCGCCGTTGTTGCCGCCACCGTTGTTGCTGTTGCTGTTGTTGCTGCTGCTGTTGTTGTTTCTCTTGTTCCTATTGTTGCTGCTGTCACCTGTGTTGTTTCTGCTATTGTCCTTCCTGCTGCTGCTGTTGTTGTTGTTATTGTTGGCATAAATGCTCTGGAAACTCAGCAGACTAGCCTGGGCTCTTATACCTGGAGTCTGAGAGGACTCCAGTACTATAGGGTAAGTCACATGAGCTTCTGCTACTCTCCCCATCTCAAACTGGTCCACAAACTGAGGCAAGACTAAGTACCTCCAGGTGGGGGGGACTCTGTGAGGAGCTTGGGGATCCAGTGCCAGCCTCACACCAAATCTCAAGATTACTATCATCAGTCTGGAGCAACAAAATGAATAAAGCAGCAATCTTACACATATTAGCAACATCCTGGTATTCACAAAGACTAGTTGATTGAGAAACTTGAAATTTGAACAAATTTTTGAATTGATTTTTTACTTACCCAACTGTTGAAAAGTAAACGAACTTTGGTAAAACTAATTCTCAAATTCTATTTGGAGAACTGATGGTAACAGTGTCTAGATTTTGCAATCATCATTTTTAACTGACATAAGATTAAATTTAGATATGTCCCACATTCCTTATTACAGAGAAGGGTAGAACCCCTTAAATAATGAACTTATGCTAGTCTCACTCTTACACTAGAGTTTTAGGAACCACTCCAGCCACCTTAGCTATTCAGCAATCTCTCTGTATATTTTCTTATCGAGAATCCCACTCAGAACTCATTGCATGATTAATCCTAAACAAAGCTTATTCCCATTTCTTGTATTTATTTATTGTCCACTTTATTTTGGTTTTCAGCCTCCTCATAATTTTTCTCTCCCCTTTTCCATTCTGTTTTATTATTGCAGACCAAGAAAAAACAAAGAAAAGATGATTTACCTCCAAGTCAAGAAACAAGACATTCCACTGAACTAAGACAGACCTGCCATGGTTTTGCTTTGATAATATATGGCTGGAACCAGAGATTCCTACTGTCATCACAAAGCCCATACAATTTAACCTTACATCTCTTTGAACCCCCTGAACCTAGATCTATGACCAAATGGAGTTTGCTGCATAGTGTATCAAAACCTACCTGTGGGACCATATCCCACAACCTGCCCAGCTTTCCTTGGACAATGGTCATTGGTTTCCTGGGATTTTTATTCTATCTTTGTATTTCTTTATTTTATTCCTTTCTCCACAATCATATAAAATTAAAACACACAGGGGAATTGTGGGCCAGGGAAACATAAAAGATCTAAAAAGCAATAAAACGGGGAGCAGAGAGCCTGTTTGCTTAAAAAAATAAAACATCCAAAGCAATATCATGCTGTCTAGAATGTACGTCAAGAACTTTAGTCTTTTCGGTATCATATGTAAAGAAAAATTAAAATACATTGATTATTGTCTGAATTAGACTTTAAAGGAACCTAAAATACAAGAATCAGGAGTTACAACCTGAGTAATCGCCAAGTCTCTGTATTTAGACTGGACACTCAATGTGTGCTTTCTACCTAAGATCTCAAGAAGAGTGTAATTAAAAGCCGCATTCATGTCCTGGCCAGTTTGGCTCAGCGGTTAGAGCATCAGCCCAAGGACCAAAGAGTTGAGGGTTTGATTTTGGTAATGGGCACATACCTCAGTTGCAGTTCGATTCCTGGCCCTTGTTGGGGTTGTGTGGGAGGCAACCAATCGATGTGTCTGTCTCACATCAATGTGTCTCTGTCTCCCTCCCACTCTATCTGAAGATAAATGGAAAAACATCCCCAGGCAAGGATTTAAAAACATAAAATAAATGTTCATGTTGGCATTTTAAACCATAGGTAATAATATTTCAGTCTGATAAAAATTTCTCTGAATTGGTAGATTCAAAATATTATACGAAGCCCAGCCAGTGTGACTCAGTGGACTGAGTGTCCTCCCACGGACTGAGAGGTCCCGGTTGGATTCCCAGTCAGGGCACATGCCCAGGTTTCAGGCTCGAGGCCCAGTTGGGGGCACACAGAAGGCAGCTGATTGATGTTTCTCTCTCACATTGATGTTTCTATCTCTCTCTCTCCCTTCCTTTCTCTAAAAATCAATAAAAACGTATTTTAAAAAAAGTTATACTAATATCTTACCAAAGTGATATAGTGGATAGATTATTTAAAGCTAATAATACAAGACCTATAATGAAAAACAGAAGCTCCTTACCCTAGTCTACCTCTACCAACTCTTCAAAGATCATTTTCAACTATTGAAGCTGTTTTTCCCCTTAGAGTTATCTCCATACATCTAAATAACTTACTTTATATTGACATTTCTTGTTTGTTTTTTTAGTTTTAAATTTCACCTGTTAACTTTTTAATATAAACAGTGAAGATTTAGCTCTTTCTTCACCTCTCCCCTCACCCCAACCCACAGCTTCTCTCTTCCCTTAAAACTTTGTTTTATCACATTTTTATTCAATCAGGGTCCATCCTTGCGGCTTTGTAACTGTTATGAAAAGCTACACCACATAGTATACGGTGGTTCCACCTGCCCCTCCTCCTGGGAGAGCTGCCCCTGGGCCCTGCAGCCCCCGCCCAGCCTGGCCTGGCTGGTCTCTGGCCTGACGCCCACCGGTGGCCCGTGGCTACCCTTTTCCTACCTTACTGAGTTTTTCCAGTGCCTCTTTCTCCTGCCGACGGCGCTGTCTCCTAAACCCCAAGTTATCCTCATTCTGGGTTCTCTCCCTCATTTTGAAGAAGCGCATCTTCCCATATCATCCCGAGCAAGAGCACACGCTTGTCCTTGCAGGATCTCTTCCGTGACCCCGGGAGTTAAAACCTGCAGGCGGGACTTCTGGCCCAGATGGTGGCGCAGGTGAACGCGGTCTCGCCTCCTCCCACAACCACACCAGAATCACAACTGAACGACACAAAAGCCATCATTCAGAACCACTTGAAAGTTAACTGAACAGAAGTCCTACAACTACTGTAGGACTGAAGAAGCCACATGGAGACTGATAGGAGGGGCGGAGGCACGGACGGGCTGGGCCCACACCCATGTGTGGTGGATAAAAATCAGGAGGCATATCTCAGCTGGAAAGGCCCTCCCTGAGGACTGAGGGGTCCCCGTCCCACACCAGGCACCCAGCTCAGGGTTCCAGTGCCAGGAGAGAAGTCCCCAAACTTCTGGCTGTAAAAACCAGCGGGAACTAAAGTGAAGGAGGCTGAGGCTGCGGGAGCCCCAGGCAGCTCCTTAAAGGGCCCGCGCACAGACTTACTGCGACTCGCTCCCTCCAGGCTCCAGTGCAGGGGCAACCGCTTGAAAGGCAGCAGACACACACAGGGAAGAACTGAATTTCTTGGCATCAGATCGAGAGCTGCAGATGCAGCTTTGTCCCAGACAGACGTGCTGGCGGAGGCTGTGTTCCTTTTCTGAAATTCCCCCCAGAGAACAGCAGACAGGCACCACATCTGAGACCATCGACCTGGCTCACTGTCTGCCCGGCCCTGGTGATTCCCTGAGGTCCTGCCCCACCCTCGAGTCAGTTGAGCAGAGGTTGGTGCCCTGAGCTTCTGCTAAACCCAATGCTAATCCAGGGCTGGGGAACCTTTTCTGCCAAGGGCCACTTGGATATTCATAGCATCATTTGCAAGCCATACAAAAGTATCAGCCTCAGAATTAGCCTGCTGTATTTGCTCAGGCTCATTTGGTGAGACTGTGATGTGAGCTGGTGTTGATTTGGCAGGACGTTCCCCACCCCTGCCCGCCTCAGTGACTAGGACAATGTGTATGAAACCCCACCTGCTGTGACAAGAAGAAAACCCTTCTCCTGTGTGCCAATCTCAGCACAAGATCATGACTGACAAGGACTCTGAAATGAGGAGCCCCGGGGACCTTTATTAAGTCCTGGGATCAACAGTGACTTGGCAAAGACAGGTTTTCTGACTGTGTCATCGGACAAATGGGCCTCTGGCCACCATTTCTTCGAGGCCGGAGGGCGTGGCGCATGGGGCGGACTCGTGCACCCCCTCTCCAGCTGCTGTAATGTTCAGGGTGGGGATGTGAACGTCCAGTTAAAAAGGAAACAAGCCCAGCATGGGGTCACCTGTGCTCAGACCCACGTCAGCACATCAAGGCTTCCCTGCGGCTCCAGCCCCCCGCCCCGGGAATGTGACCTTTAAGCAGCCCATCTGCAATGACCTGTGAGCACTGAGAGGTGACCGGCATGATCCCCCTGTGCTTCCCGTGAGAGGCTGTTCCCAGCGCCTCTGTCCACGGAAGCCTTCCCTGTTGTGCAGCTGCCTGGGCTTCCCTTCCATGTGCTCCACCAGGTGCTGCTCGGCTCCTGGGTCGTTACATAAAGTCAATTAGACCTTCAGACTTAGTGAATTCTGTTTCTTAACACCTCCCTCTACGTCTTCCCCGAGAGTAGAGCAGATGTTGAACTATATGCTTCTCAAGCACGGAGGGCCAAGGACACCACCCGTATCAGTACTCGCCTGACAGAATTGAGGCCTGTGCCTTCGGGGTGTCTTGTCCCTGGGCTGCTCTCCCCACTCCTCAGGCCCCCTGGCTAACCCAGGGCCCTTTGAGGCCAAGGCATCTCCTGCCCCTCACCCCGAGAAAGTGCTCTAAGACCTAGAATCTCAGCAGTCTGCGAGGGAGTCGCCTCTGGGGGCAGAGGGCACTAAGCCTGGAAACCAGTCTGGCTGTGTCCGTGTCACGGGAACGAGAGGTCCCCATCCCCGTGCAAGGGGCCTTCAGGCACCTAAGTGCTTGTGTGCCCAGGGGCGCCTCAAAAGCAATGACTGGAACACCAGGCTTGGGCTCTGATTCTCAAGCCCATGGCTCTAGTCCAGAACTCTCTTCCCAGAGCCGGACATGACCATGGGGACATCCCGAGGGCTTCTTGTGGACAGCACTTCTCCCTGGGATTTTACTGCCAGTGACCAACATGTTTACACTCTGTCGACGTGGGTAAGAATTCTGGAAAACCCCGCGTTTGTATCATGCTTGCACATTTGCTGAACCATCTCTCATCCCAGGAAAACTTGTGGGACATCACAAAGGATCCTCCGACACATGTCAGGGACTGTTTCCACGTCAGGCAGCGGACACCGGGAGGAGCAGGGCCCAGCAGGGGCCAGAGTATGAACACAACAGACTGGCTGCCGGGCCAACAACTGCACTGTGGGCACCTGCCCCGCAACAGCTGAGTGCACCCCGGTGTCGACCGTGTGCGGCGCCTTCGCGACTCCCTCATTACTGGCTATTGAATAATGATGTCGGCTGACACCCGGCCCCGGGATGGAGGGGGCTTTGTTGTCACCGAGGGGAGAGGACATGCGCAGGGCAGAGTGGAAGTGTACCTGGCTCGCGGAGACCGAGCTGGGCCCCGCGGCCGCGTGGGGACACGCTCCCCGGGAGCCGACACAGCTACAGCACGAAGAATCGGCGGGACCTGGCGGCGGAGAGCGGGGCGCGCAGGCCGGGCCCCTGTGCGGCTGGTGGGGTGCGGGGCTGCAGAGGCAGAGAGCGGCTGGGGTGGGTGCGGGGCTGCGGAGGCAGAGCGCAGCTGGGGACCATGGTCCTGACTGTGGGAGGGGAGTCCAGAGAGGCCCGTGGGCAGCAGGAGGCAGGGAGCAGCCACGTGCTGGAGGCCGGGGGGGATGAGAGCGAGATTGATGAATAAAAAAGACGCTGATTAGACATGGAGCCAGAGGTCAAACAAGGAATTTAAGGAAAATCCAGCCATGAAATTATCCCATCACAACCTAACAGAACACAAGCTACACCCGAACGTTCAGCAACCTGGAGACTTTTCACAGAGGAGCAAATACCCTGGGGCAGGCCTGTCGGGTCTGAGGAATCTCAGAGCACATGCAATAACTTTATACAGATAATCAGGAATCATAAAAACAGGTTCGAGCCCATGACAAGCAAGAAGAAAAAAAAAAAAAGAC